CATGGGAGGGCTAGTGGGTGGAGGTTTTGGTATACATGGGAGGGCTAGTGGGTGGAGGTTTTGGTGTACATGGGAGGGCTAGTGGGTGGAGGTTTGGGTGTACATTGGAGGGCTAGTGGGTGGAGGTTTTGGTGTACATGGGAGGGCTAGTGGGTGGAGGTTTTGGTGTACATGGGAGGGCTAGTGGGTGGAGGTTTTGAAGCTTCGTGGTTGAGGCAGAGCGGGTGAAGGCATGTGGGGAGGACTTCTGATCAACCAGACTGTGGCTGCCCACAGGTGAGGCTGCGGGAAAGCATCAACCCTCGAAATCATCAACAGGTATGATACCTAATTCGGTCAGTGAGCCTCGATCACCACACTTGACCTGGTCATCCGTTATACAGGTCTGATTAGTGATCAAGTAACAGGGAGTAGTGGAAGGACCACAAAGTATCCGCGATGGACACCACAAAATATATGAGCAGGAATGTGGTAACATTCTACGAAAAAGCAGTTAAACAACTAAACAGCCTCTTCAATTACCAGTAACTCAAAATAGGCACTGGGGTGTAGGGGTGGGGGGGGGGGGCTCTGTCATAATACATGTCAATATCATCGCCCAGAGAGTTGGCAAAATCAGTTCTCAGAAATGATTTCTTTAACATTGCCTGGGGGTCATGCGTGATAACTCCTGGCTCAGAGAGCTTCCAAATGTGACTAGGAATGTCATAAGGTAGCAGAAATGTCCAAATTTATCAATTATTCCCGACGAAGTTAGTTTGACATTGGTGGCAGCGGTGGGATTCCAATTCGCCCAGAACTCTAGACGGTGTCATATCTACCTCGACAGGCTTATAACACACATTTTGATATATCCAAGATATATCAAATCGATCATTGGAACAATCATCTTTAACTCTACCAGTTAAATGCCGGTTATCACCATTCCTTTCTATTGTCCCATCGTTTCAAGAAATTAGAAATTGCCTTCAAAATCTCTACAAGTCCCAACCAAGTTAGGTTCTTAGAGAAGGTGGAGAGGACGCCCTCTCCGACCTAGGTGGAGAGGGCAGAGGTCGAGGAGTCGAGAGGTCCATTGAACGGGTGGAAACGGAGGTTGAGCGGGTGGAGGGCCCGTCGCAGAGGACCGGTGCAGTGTGTGGTATTCAGCGTTGAGGCGGGCGGCGCTACGCTCGAGTTTCAATTGTGACTCCACAAGGCAGGAATTACCCAGGGAAATGAGTAAATGAGGAGAGTCTGGAAACTCGACGCCGGATCACCCCGGCCCTCCCACCACTCCTCTCCCGCCCCGACCTGAACCCCTTCTCCGCTGGCGGAAACAAATTTGACATTTTTTTTTTAACTTTCCCTCAAGGACGCCCTAGTTGATCAACCTTTTGGTAGCGCCCCCCCCTCCCCCTCCCCCCAGACCATCACTTGATACGTCTGACACCAGCGCTCCCCCCTCCCCCCCCCCCTCTGTACCCAACACACACACACACACACACACACACACACACACACACACACACACACACACACACACACTCACTCACTCACTCACTCACTCACTCACTCACTCACTCACTCACTCTCCAGGGGGCCTGGTAGCCTGGTTGATAACGCGCAGGACTCGTAATTCTGTGGCGCGGGTTCGATTCCCACACGAGGCAGAAACAAATGGGCAAAGTATCTTTCACCCTGAATGCCTCCTGTTACCTAGCAGTAAATAGGTACTTGGGAGTTGGTCAGCTGTCACGGGCTGCTTCCTGGGGTGTGTGTGGTGTGGAAAAATAAGCAGTTAGTAAACAGTTGATTGACAGTTGAGAGGCGGGCCGAAAGAGCATAGCACAACCCCCGCAAACACAACTAGGTGAATACAACTAGGTGAATACTCTCTCTCTCTCTCACACACACACACACACACACACACACACACACACACACACACACACACACACACACACACACACACACACACACACACTCACACACTCACACACTGTAAGTTGCGAATGTTTTCCAGGAGGGAACATTGTGTGTACCAAAGACACGTTGCTTATGCAACAATTTCAAAATGGGGATTATTTTGATGTTATTTAATTATAATTGCGCTTAGATGTGATGGTTGGCGATAGAGGGGTAGTTGCAATAGGAGGTTACCTACCTTAAAGCGTCCAGTATAAGACAATCACAAGAGACAAGTCTCACCCTTCAGAAGGTAACAACCCAATTACCCCTACCTCTCGTGTCCTGGTTGGTCAGACGCAGCAAGCACAACCACCCAATCTTCTTGAGGTTATCTTGAGATGATTTCGGGGCTTTAGTGTCCCCGCGGCCTTGTCCTCGACCAGGCCTCCACCCCCAGGAAGCAGCCCGTGACAGCTGACTAACTCCCAGGTACCTATTTACTGCTAGGTAACAGGGGGCATTCAGGGTGAAAGAAACTTTGCCCATTTGTTTCTGCCTCGTGCGGGAATCGAACCCGCGCCACAGAATTACGAGTCCTGCGCGCTATCCACCAGGCTACGAGGCCCCTGGGTATAACTTATTGGATATTATTATTGTTTACAATGTACCGAGCAAATGTGTTGTAACTAAGTGATTAGGTAATAAGGAGATCACTTCTAGTTTGTTTGTCTGGTTAGGAGAGGCGCAGGGAAAAGTTTGGGGGGGTAAGGGAGCCGGGCGGACAGCACGCTGGGCTTGTGATCCTGTGGTTCTGGGTTCGATCCCAGGCGCCGGCGAGAAACAATGGGCAGAGTTTCTTGCACTCTATGCCTTTGTTACCTAGCAGTAAAATAGGTACCTGGGTGTTAGTCAGCTGTCACGGGCTGCTTCCTGAGGGTGGAGGCCTAGTCGAGGACCGGGCCGCCGGGACACTAAAGCCCCGAAATCATCTCAAGATAACCTCAAGAAGATACTTAGTGCAAGGTCAATTTTCTCCGGCAATCAGGCAGTTATGTATTTCACGGCTATTGCATCTTGTTGACGCTAGGGTGCAGGCGCTGGGGGGGGGGGGGGGGGGTGAGGGGGGCCTTCGCCCCCCTCCCCCCCTTCCCCCCTCCCGTGTATTCATCTAGTTGTGCTTGCGGGGGTTGAGCTTTGCTCTCTCGGCCCGCCTCTCAACTGTCAATCAACTGTTACTAACTACTAACTAATTTTTGTCCCCCCACACACACAAACACACAACCCCCCCTCCCCCAGGAAGTAGTCGGTAACAGCCGTCTAACTCCCAGGTACCTATTTACTGCAAGGTGAACAGGGGGCATCAGGGTGAAAGAAACTGCCCATTTGTCTCTTCCGGCGCCGGGAATCGAACCCGGGCCACAGGATTACAAGTCCCGCGCGCTGTCCACTCAGCTACCAGACCAGACCCTCTGTCTGTCTGTCTGTCTCTCTCTCTCTCTCTCTCTCTCTCTCTCTCTCTCTCTCTCTCTCTCTCTCTCTCTCTCTCTCTCTCTCTCTCTCTCTCTCTCTCTCTCTCTCTCTTCCATTTCATTCCATTTGCTTACGATAAAAACTTCATGAAATATATAATGTACTACATGTGTGCCTCAGTTTCCCTGTGTGTCAAGGTGGTGTAGCCAGCTCTATACTGGTCATACAGTCGTTATCACCCCTACCACTTCCCGCGGGAGACTTGTAAGTCGTGATCATGTCTCCTTCTTCAATCCATCTATATTCAATTTAAGGGTCTGTTCTCCCTTGGGCTTTTGTCGCAGGTCATATTGTAAATATTGACATATGTATTTACATATATATTTGCATATACGTATGTATATATTTACATATATGAAATATATATATTTTTACCTCTCGGATGCAACAAGATTTGGAATTTCAAGGATTATCTCCATACCGAAGATTTCAAGGATCAACATCCCCGCGGCCCGGTCTCTGAGCGGGCGATCTAAAAGCCTCCATAACAGAGAGGTTCCCGAATGATGTTCTGACTTTTCCCCCCTAGTGCGTGCGTGCGTGCGGGCGAGCGTGCTAGCGCGCTTGAGTACACGCCGATAAAGACTGGTTCCAGAACATCATTCCCTACTCCGACATATTAGCATGCGCGCGCATGTATACAAAGCGGTATTAACCCGTTCATCTAATACCACTTTGATCACTTAAATGGATCCACTGTGCTCGGTAACCCCCCCCCCCCCCCCCCCCCCCCCACCTTAAAAAGTGCAATGGGCTCTTATCCTATTTTCTTTATTTCGCTGTTAATTGAAACATTGTGTAATAGGCTAGAGCCGAGATGATTAAATGAGCTGAAACTCGGCTTTCTTTGTAAACAAGATGAGTGACTAACTTCGGGTGATATATGATTGTTGATGGATTAGATGGATTAGATTAGGGGGGGGGTTATTAACGTCGATGGTTTGTAATGATTACTTTTGATGATTGGGAGCTGATAATTTGGGTTATTGTTGATGTATTTAATATGAAAATTTTGAAAAGTTGTCTAAAGCCTAATGAATTGTATTTGCCCAAACTCATTCATATGTCTTAAATTTCACTTGAATAATCTTGTGTATTGCAAGGCTTTTATGGTGTTATTTTGATATATTGTTTGGTTGTTAAAACTGAAGTTGTTATTTCATATAAATATGAAATTTATATATATAAATTTTGTCGTATGAGTTTTTTTGATGATCCTTGGATAATTTAGATGCTTTACTTAATATTATTATCGACACGGATTGTGTTATTAGTAACTATGTATTATGAGTGATAGTTGTGAATGGTAGTTTACTAATTGAAAAATAATATAAATAAACCATTTATTAATTCAGTTTACACATTATTTCAATACAAAGTTTACATAATAGAAAGCCACAATAACACGTAATTATAGTCATTACTGTATAATCTAGATTTTGATTTATAATTATTTTATCAGTGATTTATATAAAAAAAACTCATACGCTGATTTGTATCATTTTTATTATTACGAAAACATTATCTCCTCTTAATGCTAGGGAAAAAATGATGCTATTCCCTTCACTTTTAATGATATTGTGTTTTTTCCTTGGCTACAGGCGGCGGAGAAGATGGGTCTTGGGGCAGGACCTGCCGGGGGCTCCCTCTTCTCTCTCTACCACAATGGGCAGACCTTAGGGCAGCCTCCTCCTGCCCACATGGGCATACCTCCCTATCAACTCGACCCCAAGGCTGGTAAGTCCTGTGCAGCACCTTGTACGGGCTATTCATGCCCGTGCCACCTCTTGGGTGGCTTTATCTTCATCAATCTACAGCATCTTGCTGTCTATCTGGCCGTGTTGTTGCAGCTCCGTTTAGGCTTTTCAATGTGTTTTTAGCAGTTTGTACAGCACAGAAATTAGCGTTAGTCACAATAACGTGGCTAAAGTATGTTGACCAGACCACACACTAGAAGGTGAAGGGACGACGACGTTTCGGTCTGTCCTGGACCATTCTCAAGTCGATTGTGACTTGAGAATGGTCACCTTCTAGTGTGTGGTCTGGTCAACACAAAAATTAGTGGTTTGAATATGTGTATATATACTGTGTGTGTATATATATTGATGTGGGGTTAAGAAACCACTACAATTGAGTAGATTAATAAACACAATATTCTGGATAAAATCTAGTGACGTGATTGACTAGGCTGTTACTTAATGCTGGGACATACGTCATCACCTCAAAAAATCTATTGTTTACATAAATTTTCTTTTATAAATCTCATTTATATGAGATATAAATCTCATTTATATGAGATATAAATCTCATTTATATGATCCTAGAGTTATATTCAAGGGGCGGTAGAAATAGCCTAAGCTACTCTATCCCTTTGAGATGTATTTCTTGTCTTAATAAACATACTTGAACTTGAGTTATATTAATATTATCTAATTCACGACGTTTTATAAATGAATCGATAATGTTGCTTTTCGCTGATTTGCATGAATTTGTGCATTGAGTTGAGAATGGTTTAAATCTCTTAGGTGACCAGACAGAGCATTGGACTCTTGACATGTTGGCCAAGATGCTGGCCAAGATGCTGGCCAAGATGCTGGCCAAGATGCTGGCCAAGATGCTGGCCAAGATGCTGGCCAAGATGCTGGCCAAGATGCTGGCCAAGATGCTGGCCAAGATGTTGGCCAAGATGCTGGCCAAGATGCTGGCCAAGATGCTGGCCAAGATGCTGGCCAAGATGCTGGCCAAGATGCTGGCCAAGATGCTGGCCAAGATGCTGGCCAAGATGTTGGCCAAGATGCTGGCCAAGATGTTGGCCAAGATGCTGGCCAAGATGCTGGCCAAGATGCTGGCCAAGATGCTGGCCAATATGCTGGCCAAGATGCTGGCCAAGATGCTGGCCAAGATGCTGGCCAAGATGCTGGCCAAGATGCTGGCCAAGATGCTGGCCAAGATGTTGGCCAAGATGCTGGCCAAGATGTTGGCCAAGATGCTGGCCAAGATGCTGGCCAAGATGCTGGCCAAGATGCTGGCCAAGATGCTGGCCAAGATGCTGGCCAAGATGCTGGCCAAGATGCTGGCCAAAATGCTGGCCAAGATGCTGGCCAAGATGCTGGCCAAGATGCTGGCTAAGATGCTGGCCAAGATGCTGGCCAAGATGCTGGCCAAAATGCTGGCCAAGATGCTGGCCAAAATGCTGGCCAAGATGCTGGCATATTGATTGTATCAGTTGAGGGGTTGAGTGTTGGATAGGTTATCTTGAGATGTTATCTTGAGATGATTTCGGGGCTTTAGTGTCCCCGCGGCCCGGTCCTCGACCAGGCCTCCACCCCCAGGAAGCAGCCCGTGACAGCTGACTAACACCCAGGTACCTATTTTACTGCTAGGTAACAGGGGCATAGGATGAAAGAAACTCTGCACATTGTTTCTCGCCCGCGCCTGGGATCGAACCCGGGACCACAGGATCACAAGTCCAGCGTGCTGTCCGCTTGGCCGACCGGCCGAGGGAAGAGAATGGCAGAGGAGAGGAAAAGAGATGAATCTTACCTGGATTTTACCTGAAGAGGATCTCGGGAGTTCTTCTCCCCGAGGCCAGAATTGCGATAATTTAGTCCAGTGGATATGTGGGAGAGAGGTAGAAAGGGGATAGAAAATGGGATGAGAGAGAGAGACTGAAGTAAAGAGGAAGGAATAGGCAAGACTTAAGAGGATGGGGATAGAGAAGGTAAGACGCCACCATCCAGGCTTAGAACGTAAGCTTATATAAGCTTAGACAAACGGTAGACAGGAAAACCAGTTGACCTTAAACTTACTAGGAACTCACGCTAGAACTTACCACTAACAGGCAGGTGTTGAGTGTTGTATTTGACTGATCTTGTTGACAAGCCGATGGGAAAGCCTTGAAGCAAGCAAGGCGTGTGTTGCTAAAATTAGCGGTTTGTATAGTTGCCTTGCTAAAATTAGCGGTTTTTAAAGCGGTATTGCTAAAATTAGCGGTTTTTAAAGCTGTCTTGCTAAAATTAGCGGTTTTTAAAGCTGTCTTGCTAAAATTAGCGGGCTGTATTGCTAAAATTAGCGGGCTGTATTGCTAAAATTAGCGGTTTGTATAGTTGCCTTGCTAAAATTAGCGGTTTGTATAGTTGCCTTGCTAAAATTAGCGGTTTTTAAAGCTGTCTTGCTAAAATTAGCGGTTTTTAAAGCTGTCTTGCTAAAATTAGCGGGTTTTAAAGCTGTATTGCTAAAATTAGCGTTTTTTAAAACTGTATTGCTAAAATTGGCGGTTTGTATAAGTGTCTTGCTAAAATTGGCGGTTTGTATAAGTGTCTTGCTAAAATTAGCGGTTTTTAAAGCTGTCTTGCTAAAATTAGCGGTTTTTAAAGCTGTATTGCTAAAATTAGCGGTTTGTATAAGTGTCTTGCTAAAATTAGCGACCTTTAAATTGGTTTAGCTAAAATTGGCGATATATGTAACTGTATCGCTAAAATTAATGGCACGTGCCGGAAACATTTTGTGTATATAGAGTATAGGTATAGTAATAATATTGGGAAGGGGTCAGGATTAGGATTTAGGATGGGACTGGGCGGGAAAAGGAATGGTGTCCAACCACTTGGGGACGGTCGGGGATTGAACGCCGACCTGCACGAAGCGATTAGGTTCCTGAGGGACCAGGGGCAAAGGGGGGGGTGTCAGGGACCCCAGGAAGGATATAACAATGGCTGTAACCAATTAGAAAATTTAAACTGCTCTATGTTTGATGAACTCACAAAAAAAATGGAACAAAAAAAACTGGTATGTGAATTGTGTTGGCAGATGATGATGATGTTGATTTGTTTGTTTTAACTGTTTGTAGTGTCTGGCAAGAGGATTAATGCGCTTCGGTTAACTGTTTTGTTTATCAGTGTGTTTACCTTAAAGTTTTAGGTGGGCAGCGTAATCCCGTTCCTAGGATTTTTGAAGGTAGGATTTCTACACTCTCGAGTTTGAACCGGTTAGGATTACCTATGTTTTTTTAATTAATATTAATTTTTTTTGTAATTTAAATGTAAAATATATATATATATATATATATATATATATATATACATATATATATATATATATATATATATATATATATATAATATATATATATATATATATATATATATATATATATATATGTATATATATATAATATATATATATATATATATATATATATATATATATATATATATATATATATATATAATATTCAAAGTAGATTTCGAGACATTGAATACAAATTAGTAATGTTTGGAGACAGCTGATTGGCCGACGGAACGGCGTTCTTGTGATTGGTGTCTTCTTATTGGTTGTCGGGAACTCTGCCGCATAGGGCTAGGGGCTCCTCTGATTGGCTAGGGGTCAGCCATTGGGCTGCCTGAACGTCGGTATTCTCTAAGGAACCTGATTGGCTGTCGAGACGTCATCGCTCTACACGCAATGGTGCGGCATCGCTGATTGGCCATCTACGTACAGGAGATCACACAAGCTGTCTGATGATTGGTGCGTGGAGGCCTGGTCGAGAACCGGGCCGCGGGGACGCTAAGCCCCGAAATCATCTCAAGATCCACAACACCTCTGTCATTTGCCTCAATAATACTGCTATGTATATTTTGCCTTGAGGTTATCTTGAGATTATCTTGAGGTTATCTTGAGATGATTTCGGGGCTTAGCGTCCCCGCGGCCCGGTCCTCGACCAGGCCTCCTTGTTACACATCCCCCAGGAAGCAGCCCGTAGCAGCTGTCTAACTCCCAGGTACCTATTTACTGCTAGGTGAGCAGGGGCATCAGGGTGAAAGAAACTGCCCATTTGTTTCCGCCTCCAGCGGGGATCGAACCCGGAACCTCCGGACAACGATTCCTAAGCGCTGTCCACTCAGCTGTCAGGGCCCCATAAGGTATTCAAAAGTATTTTGAATATTCAAAAAATACCTATTTTTTAATATGTATTTACTGTTAGTATTCAATATTTCGTCCTTAATTTCCAGCTCTGACTTTCTCCAAATTTGAAGAGGCGATTCTGGTCCACAAAATACGCTCCGTATTTTGTATGTTGCGATCATTTCCCCTCTGTTCCGTCTTCTAAGGTTGTGTGTGATTTAGTTCCTCTAGCCTGTCCTCATAGCTTAGTCCTCTCAGCTCTGGCTCCAGTCTTCTTGCCACCAGTAATGGTCTAATATATTGTGCTGTAGATCTTATTAGATGGAGCTTGAAATAAATACTTTAATTGTATTTTAATTTAGTACTTTAATTGTATTTTGAATAGTAAATAGTACTTTAATAGTATTTTTAATAGTATTTTTAATAGTAATAGTAAATACTCCCGTTTATATAATATTTTTGTAACTGTGTGTACAAACATTGACGTACTAAGCAGTTAGATAGTACAACTTTGTACTATTCACTTTATAGTTCGAAAAAAATTAAGCTAAAAAACAAACTTAAATATTTTTAGGCCTATTATAGCACACACATGTACCATATTAGGCCTAAGATTGCATGTATTAGGCATAGGAGGGTTACCTGCTTGATACCTGGTTGATGGGGTTCTGGGAGTTCTTCTACTCCCCAAGCCCGGCCCGAGGCCAGACTTGACTTGTGAGAGTTTGGTCCACCAGGCTGTTGCTTGGAGCGGCCCGCAGGCCCACATACCCACCACAGCCCGGTTGGTCGGGCACTCCTTGGAGGAAACAATCTAGTTTTCTCTTGAAGATGTCCACGGTTGTTAGGTTAGTTTGTCTTTGCAACATACAAAAATCCTTGCAAAAGTACAGAATCGTTTTCCGGTTTGTCCAAACTCAATAGAACCGTTTTCTAATTTCTAATTGCGTTGTTAGTCGGTCTTATGTACTGTGGTCCTCGGGCCAGATTCACGAAGCAGTTACGCAAGTACTTACGAACGTGTACATCTTTCTTCAATCTTTGACGGCTTTGGTTACATTTAATAGGCAGTTTACAAGCATGAAATCTTGCCAATCAACTGTTGTTATTGTTATAAACAGCCTCCTGGTGCTTCGGAGCTCATTAACTGTTTAATAATTGTAAACAAAGCCGCCAAAGATTGTGAAAAAGATGTACAGGTTCGTAAGTGCTTGCGTAACTGCTTCGTGAATCTCGCCCCCTCATCGTTACTGTAAGTACTACTAAAATAGGAGAATGGGCTGAATCACCGTAGTTTCCTGACCTGTGATTGGCTATTTCCAGGTTGACTATTTTGTCATGATGTTAATGCTCGCTGTTCTAGATATTATTTCAGGGTTAGGTTGCCGAGTCTGTTTTTATTTTAGGGGGGAGAGGTGGAGGGGGGGGTTGAAGATAAGGGGTGAGGGGGTTGAAGGGGTGAGGGGGGGGTTGAGGGGGGGGAAGGGATGGTGTTTGTCAAATCAATACCAACACAGTTGTGTGTCTCGGAAACATTTTTAGACTCTCGTCTGATTAATGGTTGGCGCGAAGCCGCGGTGAGGAGGTCGACTGGCTTCTCTCTCTCTCTCTCTACCTCACTCTCATCTCTCACCTGTCACTCTCATCTCTCACTCTTATCTCTCACCTCTCACATCCATCCTTGTTTACCCTGTCAATTTCTCTGAGAATTTTGTATGTGGTGATCATGTCTCCCCGAGCTCTTCTGTCTTCCAGCGACGTGAGGTGCAGTTCACCCAGCCTTTCCTCGTAACTCATGCCTCTTAGTTCTGGGACCAGCCTAGTGGCATACCTCTGAACTTTTTCCAGCTTCGTCTTGTGCTTGACAATGTACGGGCTCTATGCTGGGGCCGCATACTCCAGGATTGGTCTTACATACGTGGTATACAATGATTTCTTACACAGGTTCCTGAAAGCAGTTCTGATGTTAGCCAACCTCGCATACGCCTTGGGCATGTATCTCTGGCAGAATTGTTCTCCCACACACATGGATGTCAGCATAATACATAATACATTCATACATATGAATGAACCGATTGATTATCAAATGGATAATCAGATGCCTCTCATGTTATGCCTCTCTGTATGTATGCCTCTCTTGTTGTTGTTATAGATTCAGCTACTCGGAACAAGTTTCAAGTAGCACGGTCTATGGTGAGCCCGTAACTTACCTGGCACAGGAGCGGGGCAAGTAGCACGGGCTATGGTGAGCCTGTAGTGGACTTACCTGGCACAGGAGCGGGGCAAGTAGCACGGGCTATGGTGGGCCCGTAACTTACCTGACACAGGAGCGGGGCAAGTAGCACGGTCTATGGTGAGCCCGTAACTTACCTGGCACAGGAGCGGGGCAAGTAGCACGGGCTATGGTGAGCCTGTAACTTACCTGGCACAGGAGCGGTGCTGTGTGTGCTCTGTATGGACAGAGAGTCATTGATGTAGGGGGGTTGAGGGTAAAGTAGGAAAGGGGGCGAAGGAGGGGGGTGGCATTTACTCCCCCTACTGACGAAGGGAGGGAGGGAGGGTTAACACCATAAAGGGTGTTGCGAGGTGCTGTCAACACTACCCTTAATAATCCTTACATTTTTGTTGCAACAACACTGCAACGTCCCCTACGCCTCCCCTCTCCCCCCCCTCTAGCCCCCCTTCTAGCCCCCCTTCTCCCCCCCTCTAGCCCCCCTTCTCCCCCCTTCTAGCCCCCCTTCTCCCCCCTTCTAGCCCCCCTTCTCCCCACCTCCCCCCCCTAGTGCCGTCCAACCATACCACATTAGACGTTCCTGTCCTTCCCCCGTCAAGAATTACAACTAAAAATGCTTACTTGTTTCGTCCTTACCTACGTCAAGTACCCACTTGTGGAGACCGTATAACATGACAGGTATTGACGTGTTCAATATGGACTTACGTAGCCCGTAATATGTCAAATACTGACTTATGTAGCCCGTAATATGTCAAATGCTGACTTATGTAGCCCCTAATATGTCAAATACTGAATTATGTAGCCCGTAATATGTCAATTACTGACTTATGTAGCCCGTAATAAATCAAATACTGACTTATGTAGCCCGTAATATGTCAAATACTGACTTATGTAGCCCGTAATAAGTCAAATACTGACTTACGTAGCCTTTAATATGTCAAAAACTGACTCGTAGCAAGTAATATGTAAAATATTAAGGACTAGTCTGTGTACAATTTGTATTTTGTGTTCAAAATACTGTATTATTGTATAGTTTTGTGTACAAAATATTGTATTGTGTGTATTTTTAATACAAAATATTTATTTTGTCATTTTTATGTTAATAATTTATATTTTTTTGTATGCATACAACAAAATTGTATGCATACAAAATATAATTTATAGAAAAATACATATTTTGTATATAATATGTATTTTGTATATAAAAATATTATATTTTATATGTATGAATGAAGTCATATATTTTTACATTTTATTTTTATTTTCAATATTATGTATTCCATTTTTCTTGTGTTGGATTGTTCTTATGTTCAATGTTATGTTCATTGTTCTTATGTTCATTGTTCTTATGTTCAATGTTATGTTCATTGTTCTTATGTTCATTGTTCTTATGTTCAATGTTATGTTCATTGTTCTTATGTTCATTGTTCTTATGTTCAATGTTATGTTCATTGTTCTTATGTTCATTGTTCTTATGTTCAATGTTATGTTCATTGTTCTTATGTTCATTGTTCTTATGTTCAATGTTATGTTCATTGTTCTTATGTTCATTGTTCTTATGTTCAATGTTATGTTCATTGTTCTTATGTTCATTGTTCTTATGTTCATTGTTCTTATGTTCATTGTTCTTATGTTCAATGTTATGTTCATTGTTCTTATGTTCATTGTTCTTATGTCCAATGTTCTTATGTTCATTGTTCTTATGTTCAATGTTCTTATGTTCATTGTTCTTATGTTCATTGTTCTTATGTCCAATGTTCTTATGTTCAATGTTCTTATGTTCATTGTTCTTATGTCCAATGTTCTTATGTTCATTGTTCTTATGTTCAATGTTCTTATGTTCATTGTTCTTATGTTCAATGTTCTTATGTTCAATGTTCTTATGTTCAATGTTCTTATGTTCATTGTTCTTATGTTCATTGTTCTTATGTTCATTGTTCTTATGTTCATTGTTCTTATGTTCAATGTTCTTATGTTCATTGTTCTTATGTTCAATGTTCTTATGTTCAATGTTCTTATGTTCAATGTTCTTATGTTCATTGTTCTTATGTTCAATGTTCTTATGTTCAATGTTCTTATGTTCATTGTTCTTATGTTCAATGTTCTTATGTTCATTGTTCTTATGTTCATTGTTCTTATGTTCATTGTTCTTATGTCCAATGTTCTTATGTTCATTGTTCTTATGTTCAATGTTCTTATGTTCATTGTTCTTATGTTCAATGTTCTTATGTTCAATGTTCTTATGTTCAATGTTCTTATGTTCAATGTTCTTATGTTCATTGTTCTTATGTTCATTGTTCTTATGTTCATTGTTCTTATGTTCAATGTTCTTATGTTCATTGTTCTTATGTCCAATGTTCTTATGTTCATTGTTCTTATGTTCATTGTTCTTATGTTCAATGTTCTTATGTTCATTGTTCTTATGTTCAATGTTCTTATGTTCATTGTTCTTATGTCCAATGTTCTTATGTTCATTGTTCTTATGTTCATTGTTCTTATGTTCAATGTTCTTATGTTCAATGTTCATTGTTCTTATGTTCAATGTTGTATTTTCCCATTAACAGGACTGCGGCCGCCTGTGTACCCGTTCGCTGCGTCAGGCCAGTACCCGTACCCGTTGGGCGCTGATTTCACTGCCCAGATGGCATCTGCTTGGTGAGTAGTGGGCGGCCTTCTGCTGTTTTAGCTGTAGCTACTCAGAACCAAGTGTCCATGTAGCACGGGCTATGGTGACCCCGTAATGGGCTACCTTCCTCTCTGGTATTGTATATAGTCTCCCCTGGTTGCCTTACCCCCTCACCTACTTCCTTACACCCTCACCTACCTCATCACACCCTCACCTACCTCATCACACCCTCACCTACCACCCTCACACCCTCACCTACCCCCCCTCACACCCTCACCTACCCCCCTCACACCCTCACCTACCCCCCTCACACCCTCACTTACCCCCCTCACACCCTCACCTTCCCCCCTCACACCCTCACCTACCCCCCCTCACACCCTCACCTACCCCCCTCACACCCTCACTTACCCCCCTTCACACCCTCACCTACCCCCCCTCACACCCCTCACCTACCCCCCCTCACACCCTCACCTACCCCCCCTCACACCCTCACCTACCCCCCCTCACACCCTCACCTACCCCCCCTCACACCCTCACCTACCCCCCCTCACACCCTCACCTACCCCCCCCTCACACCCTCACCTACCCCCCCCTTACACCCTCACCTACCCCCCCCTCACACCCTCACCTACCCCCCCCTCACACCCTCACCTACCCCCCTCACACCCTCACCTACCCCCCTCACACCCTCACCTACCCCCCTCACACCCTCACCTTTCCCCCCCTCACACCCTCACCCCCCTCACCCCTCACCTACCCCCCTCACACCCTCACCTACCCCCCTCACACCCTCACCTACCCCCCTCACACCCTCACCTACCCCCCTCACACCCTCACCTACCCCCCCTCACACCCTCACCTACCCCCCCTCACACCCTCACCTACCCCCCTCACACCCTCACCTACCCCCCCCCCCCTCACACCCTCACCTACCCCCCCCCCTCACACCCTCACCTACCCCCCCCCCCCCCCCACACACCCTCACCTACCCCCCTCACACCCTCACCTACCCCCCCCTCACACCCTCACCTACCCCCCCCCTCACACCCTCACCTACCCCCCCCCCCTCCCCCCCCCCCTCACACCCTCACCTACCCCCCCCTCACACCCTCACCTACCCCCCCTCCCCCCCCCTCACCCTCACCAACCCCCCCTCACACCCTCACCTACCCCCCTCACACCCTCACCTACCCCCCCTCACACCATCACCTACCCCCCCCCCCTCACACCCTCACCTACCCCCCGTCACACCCTCACCTACCCCCCCCCTCACACCCTCACCTACCCCCCTCACACCCTCACCTACCCCCCCTCACACCCTCACCTACCCCCCCCCCCCTCACACCCTCACCTACCCCCCTCACACCCTCACCTACCCCCCCCTCACACCCTCACCTACCCCCCTCACACCCTCACCTACCCCCCCCTCACACCCTCACCTACCCCCCCCCCCCCCTCACACCCTCACCTACCCCCCCCTCACACCCTCACCTCACCTACCCCCCCCTCACACCCTCACCTACCCCCCTCACACCCTCACCTACCCCCCCTCACACCCTCACCTACCCCCCCTCACACCCTCACCTACCCCCTCACACCCTCACCTACCCCCCCCCCCTCACACCCTCACCTACCCCCCTCACACCCTCACCTACCCCCCTCACACCCTCACCTACCCCCCTCACACCCTCACCTACCCCCCCTCACACCCTCACCTACCCCCCCCTCACACCCTCACCTACCCCCCGTCACACCCTCACCTACCCCCCCCCCTCACCTACCCCCCCTCACACCCTCACCTACCCCCCCCCCCCTCACACCCTCACCTACCCCCCCCCCTCACACCCTCACCTACCCCCTCACACCCTCACCTACCCCCCCTCACACCCTCACCTACCCCCCTCACACCCTCACCTACCCCCCCTCACACCCTCACCAACCCCCCCTCACACCCTCACCTACCCCCCTCACACCCTCACCTACCCCCCTCACACCCTCACCTACCCCCCCTCACACCCTCACCAACCCCCCCTCACACCCTCACCTACCCCCCCCCCCTCACACCCTCACCTACCCCCCCCCCTCACACCCTCACCTACCCCCCCCCCTCACACCCTCACCTACCCCCCCTCACACCCTCACCTACCCCCCCCTCACACCCTCACCTACCCCCCCCCCCCCCACACCCTCACCTACCCCCCCCCCTCACACCCTCACCTACCCCCCCCCCCCCCTCACACCCTCACCTACCCCCCCCCCTCACACCCTCACCTACCCCCCCTCACACCCTCACCTACCCCCCCCCCTCACACCCTCACCTACCCCCCCTCACACCCTCACCTACCCCCCCCTCACACCCTCACCTACCCCCCCCCTCACACCCTCACCTACCCCCCCCCTCTCACACCCTCACCTACCCCCCCCTCACACCCTCACCTACCCCCCCCCCCCACACACCCCCACCTACCCCCCCCCCCTCACACCCTCACCTACCCCCCCCCCCCCTCACACCCTCACCTACCCCCCTCACACCCTCACCTACCCCCCCCCCCCCTCACACCCTCACCTACCCCCCCCTCACACCCTCACCTACCCCCCTCACACCCTCACCTACCCCCCCCTCACACCCTCACCTACCCCCCCCTCACACCCTCACCTACCCCCCCCTCACACCCTCACCTACCCCCCCCCCCCCCCCCCCTCACACCCTCACCTACCCCCCCCCTCACACCCTCACCTACCCCCCCCCTCACACCCTCACCTACCCCCCCCCTCACACCCTCACCTACCCCCTCACACCCTCACCTACCCCCCTCACACCCTCACCTACCCCCCCCCTCACACCCTCACCTATCCCCCCTCACACCCTCCCCCCCTCACACCCTCACCTACCCCCCCCCTCACACACTCACCTACCCCCCCCCCCCTCACACCCTCACCTACCCCCTCATATATTCTGTATATTGTATGCTAAATCCACCAACACAACATTGAGGGAACTGCATTATGTGTTGTATGAATGTTGCTGTAGTAACTTGCCCTACTGTATAAGTTGAATACATGGTCTTACCTTCTCCCTGGCTCCCTTTACCCATCCTTACCTTACCTTCCTCCCTATTGGCTTAGCCTATTTATTGTAATTATTCTTTTATTTTTAATTATCCTAATTATTCCTTTTATTGCAGTTATTAGCATTATTATATCCCAATCCCCACACAAATTATAGTATCTTTAGTTAGTATTGATGAGTACCTTATGTTGCTGTGGGTAACTATAGATACTCGTACTAACTATAGCTACTCTCGGCTTTGGAGGAGGGATTATTTTAATTATTATAATTATTATTATTATTTTTAGGATAAAAACCCACACTCGTGTATTTTATGTACTTTATGTAATAGAAATAAATTACAGTAAGTCTTTGGCACTCAACTGAGTACTTTGTCAGGGTCTAATGACTTGCTGTAATTTCTTTACATTACATAAATTACATAAATTTCACAAAATACACAAGTGTTATATTATTATTATTTCGTTTTGTTTGTATTGATTGGTTGTGTATGGTGGTGAGGGGGGGGGGTGTAGTGATGATTGGGAGGGATTAGGGCGGTGGGTATGGTTGGGGGATGGAATGGTGGGGGATGGATGGTGGGGGAATGGCTAAAGTGAGGGAGGATGGAGGAAGTCTTATGAAATGTTGTGAAGCAACACTTGACCCCATGGTGGGTACAGCAACACTTGACCCCCCATGGTGGGTACAGCAACACTTGACCCCCATGGTGGGTACAGCAACACTTGACCCCCATGGTGGGTACAGCAACACTTGACCCCATGGTGGGTACAGCAACACTTGACCCCATGGTGGGTACAGCAACACTTGACACCATGGTGGGTACAGCAACACTTGACCCCATGGTGGGTACAGCAACACTTGACCCCCCATGGTGGGTACAGCAACACTTGACCCCCCATGGTGGGT